CAACAGGATGGTCAGGAAAAAGGAGAGGAAGCCAGTGAGGACAACCTGCTTTGAGCTGTGAAAAATGAGTTGACAGCATCAGTAACTGAGAACAATGATTACATGTAAAAGGAAAAGAAGATTAGTTTTGAAAATGCTAAATATAATGAAAACATGGGATTGATTTCAGGGTAGGTGTCAAAATGAAATTTTCTGCGCATTTAGCATAAATAGTTTTGGTGATGGTGGGCACGGAAGTGATTACTAAAAATAACAAGATTACTAAAAATAGTAAAGAATTTAAAAAAAAATGGCCCTCCCTGGTGGCACAGACGGTTAAAGCACAGCATTAAGAAGCTAAAGCCACTTCCACATGAGTTCGATCCCCGCCTGCCCTGGAAGTGACCACATGGCGCTGCAGACCTCTCCCGACCCACCCACTGCTCCCCTCAGCAGTGTACTTCGTCAATCTGCCTGTTCTGCTCCCCCCTCTGTCTCTGGTGAATCCTCTCACTGCCTCTGCACCTCTGGCCTGTGCCCCAGTTCTGTATGAATAAATAAATAAATCTTAAAAAAAAAATGACTGTGAAAGTCCACAAAAAGGCCATGGAAATAATATCCCAGTAAGTCTACGACAGCATTTCAAAAAGAAAAAGTGATCAAAATATAACAAAACTGTTAAAGGATAAGATAAATAAAATGCCGTCACTGACTTTACAGTCAGAAAAATCATGAGTGATATTAGCAAGCAGTGCTTGTATATGCAAGAATGGAAGAGACCATTCTTAAAATTTGGAAGAGACCAATCATAAAATTTTAGATTTCATAGAGTAAATAAAAAAATATTCATCCCTTTATCCCAAGATACAGACAAAAGAATTGTTAAAGGATGAATTTCTACCATTTTACCTCTTTCATATCTTCATAGTATAAGAAAAGTATTGGATGTTCTTCTTTTTTCTTCCACCAGCTCTTAACATGATTAAACCAAGGACCATATGCCACTAGAACCAGAGACACAGTTTATTTCTGTAAGTATTCATCCAATTATTTATTTTCTGAATTGTACAAATATTTTGTGGAATTTATTACCAAGGACATTGAGAACACAGGGCCATATTTTTAATCAGCTATTTATGGATATAGATTAAAAAAAACATATAAAGTACAAAGGAAGTATTGTAAATGGAAAAAAAAAGTGCATAGATTATACATAGCCTCACTGAGGAGATTTTTCTTTTATAAAATACTGATATCAAGTACTTATTAAGTACTTATCAAATGTGTGTATAAAAGGTCTAACAAATGATATGGGAAAGCTTAATAGTTTCTACTGTGAATAGAAACTGAGAATGGATTTTTAGTAACTGAAGGGACATTCAAATTATTTTTGTTAAGTCAATGAATAATACCAGGTTTACATACTGAATAGCATAATACAGCATTATATGTGTTTG